CTAAAAATACACCTGTCGATCAAAAGAGTTAAACATCTCATTCTGCACACACACACTTAATCGGTTTTTTTTTTCTTAGCCAATATTATTAAATTGTTTTGAAATTATAAAGCATCACTCAAAATCATATTCATACAGAAAATGTGTTCTATGACTGAGTATAAGATATTGATTAATAAGGTGGAATTGCTAAACTTTAGTCCATCTTTGCATGTTTAAGGAAGAATTTCAGAATCTCAAACAAAAAGGCTACTGCAATACATAGCAAGTTAATACAAACCAGTTCTTTTTCTTAAAACTAATACTATCTTTTTAGCTCACAGATATTTATGCAAGCTAAAAATTACAATATAAGTTGAGCTTGTATATTATATCTAATAAGTAACGTTGAAAGTAACTAAGAATTCTCTTCATATTTAACTGGTTTCTCACATACAGATCAATATCAAAAGAATTATATTAGTATATACATAACCTTCAGTGTATGTCCCACAGTTACAAAGGTGCTATTTCAATACTACGCCAGTAATTACTGTTCCATACAAACTTCTATTAGTATTATAACAAGCTTGTTGTTTAGTTTTATTGTGGATGTTATCTGTAATAGTAGTGTTGTAAAATATTCAAAGTAAAAAAAAAAAAGTTAAAATAAAAGTTCAAGAGTTACCTAAATATGGCTATTGTGAAAAAAAAACTTAAAAATGTCTTAAAAGGCTTCAGAAACTATAATATAAACCTAAAAACTCATATAAATAAAACTTTATATGCAGTTTAACTTAATCAACTCCTTGATGCCATTATTTAAAAAATAAAGAACTTGACAAATTATCTCAAGAAATGATAGAAGGTGAACTTAGCCTTCTAATATTTAAATTATCTTTATTCTATTTTCAATAAATTTCCATCATGAGAGATTCTCGGGCTTGGTTCTAGTTCAATTATAATATGACCAGTTACACAAGAAATCTTTCAACTATTCACTCATTTTTATATACTGTTAATTACCACATACTAAATCTTGTTGAGTAATTATATGTTTTTATCGGTTATAACGTTGAGTGTACAGAACTGGCATCCAAAAATAGGATGAAATCACTTATTTTCTGTGTCACAAAAAAAAATGTAGGAGACTCGGCAGTAATTAGTGTGATTAATTACAATATTAATAGTATTTTGGCTAAACTTTTTTTTCTCTGGCACGTATACTATCGGGGACCCTGTAACAAAGATTTGCAACTCTAAACTTAATCTTCTCGATACATTCTACATTGATACTGACACTATTTTGCTTTTCTTGTGGAAGGATATCTAGTTTTTATTATTTCTGCTCCCCCCAGCTTATGATGCTAAAATTTTGGTTTTCTTGTGGAAGGATATCTAGTTTTTATTATTTCTGCCCTCCCCCCTGGCTTATGATGCTAAAATTTTGGTTTTCTTGTGGAAGGATATCTAGTTTTTATTATTTCTGCCCACCCACCCTGGCTTATGATGTTAAAATTTTGGTTTTAGTACTCATCTTGGACAGAGTACAAATAACTCACTATGTAGCTTTGTGCATGATAACAACCAAAACAAATTTATTTCCGATTAAAGTCCAAGTGGATCCCATCTATTTTTGCATCGCATTTTCCTAAACTATTTATGCACTAACTTACTTGTGAGTTTGTAATTTTGTTGTTCACAGAGTCCCCTGTTAACCCCTCAAGTCATGTGAAAGAAAGTACAAACAAGAATACCATCAATATTGTAATTAATCCCAGTAATTACTGCTGGGTCTCCTGTATTTTTATTACAGAAAATGAATGATTTTGCTCAAGTGTTTCCACTAGGTGGTGTAATTAAAAAAAAACCCATTAAATTACTCAAATAATGCAATATTTAAATTCATAATGAGTTCCATAAAACTAAGCCTATTGGACAAATGTATATGCTCAGCTGTAATAAAACTAACTGCAAGGGTATTTATTGCAAGCAACTGGACAGACTTGCCTGTTTTGAATCCTTCTCCACGAGGTTTGGACACGAGGTTTATTACACGGACTATGAACACGTGCCCTTTGTGTAACACTTTACGTATTACAGATCGACAAGTATAACCATCAACCGTCTTTCCTTACAAAAAATGCATAATTGGTAATATTTATTTCTTATCATATTTTTTTTAAGTGACTTCTCTTTGTTTGTGTAAGTGATTTTCTTTAGCTTAAATTTATTCTCCTTGAAAATCTTTTGTCAGCTATTACATATAAATGTACAATTGGATAAGATAAATAACAAAGCTTAAATACTACAGGAGCTAATAGCAACCAAAATCCATACTGGATCTGTCTTGTCACCTTCATGATAAATCCTATACACATGTTCAAAAAATAAGTTTTTTCTTTTTCTATAATGAAACTGCAGCATTTCTAAGCTATTGAAAAAGTACAGAAAGTTAAAACTCCTCTCTAAGCTACCAATCCTTTTGTCCCTAAAAGAAAGAACAGTGCTTGAACTTTTGGGTCTGTGTTAGTTTGTTTTCGAATTTTGTGCAAAGATACTTGATGGGCTATCTGCACTAGCCATTCCTAATTTTGAACTGATAGACTAGAGGGAAGGTAGCTGGTCAATACCACCCACAGCCAACTCGTGGGCTACTCGTTTACTAGTGAAAAGTGAGATTGATATTCACGTCACAACAACCTAGGGCTGAAAAGGTGAGCACCGTTCGGTGATGGGATTCAAATTCACAACCTACAGAATAAGATTTGGGCTCCCTAGCCATGGATCTTTAGAAATGATCTTTTTCAATGAAGGTTCAATTAAAAATACAATATGTGGATTGATATTTCAAAGTAAGCAAGTTTGCAGCCATTATTAGTAAACACTTTCCATGACTGCAGTATCAAATTTGATAACAAATAATAACTTATCTACTGTCCATTAACATTGATTTTTGGTTACACACAAAGCTGTACAATGGGTTATCTGTGCTCTGCCCATTACAGATATCAAACCCTGAACTTTAGAGTCGTAAGTCCAATAACTAATAAAAAATAAATCTTTAAAATAGAGAAAATATTCAAGTCTTTGAATTTTAAACTGAGAAAAATTCTAAATATTTAGAACTTAGATTAGTTTTTCAAACAATCAATTCTTTAAAACATAATTGAGAATTAGTGGATGGTACAACTGTACCTTTAGAAGAATTACATTTGCATGCCTTTAAATCAAAATTTGAAGAAATTTTTTTTTAATTCAGTTTATTCTGGAAATACTTGTGTGTCTTTATTATTGTACCATAATGAAATTGTGCAGGATTACCTAAAGCTTTATTATTATACCATAATAAAATTGTGCAGGATTACCTAAAGCTTTATTATTGTACCATAATAAAATTGTGCAGGATTACCTAAAGCTTTATTATTGTACCATAATAAAATTGTGCAGGATTACCTAAAGCTTTATTATTATACCGTAATAAAATTATGCAGGATTACCTAAAGCTTTATTATTGTACCGTAATAAAATTGTGCAGGATTACCTAAAGCTTTATTATTGTACCGTAATAAAATTGTGCAGGATTACCTAAAGCTTTGCCTTTTCTTCGGATACCATCGTTACTGTGAAAATAAGCTTTGTACACCATTTTCTTCTATTAAAATTTAGGCAATATAAAATAGTCAGATTAATAGGAGTCACAAATTAAGTTTCCAAATTAAACATCTAGTTTGTATGTATGTGTTGATACAGCTGTGCCTCGTGAATTAAAGTAAACTGTTAAGTGTAACATCCATTTCCTAACAGTCGAAAACTGAAGTAGTTTCAAGCTAAACTTAAATAACTTGGAAAATTTCTACACTTCTCATACTCATAGTTAATTGATAAATATACAAAACATCAAACATTACTGTAACAGTAAAGTACTTTTTGAAAAAGGTTGAAATATAAATACACATTTCACTAAAACTTGGAACTGCAACAGCATTTTGAAATTGTTTTATCACAACCCCCCCCCCCCAAACTTAGTCGTAAATATGGGGTTTATTGGAAATACTAGTTATAACTATTGGTTATTATTTAACAGTACAATACTTTTATATTTGTAATAAATAATTTTAGCATGCCAAAAAAAAAGTGATTAAAAGTGATACTTAGAAGAACTGGGAAACATATATTATGCCTGATGTAAAAAAATTACAGCAGGATGGTCAATCAGTCTTCGACATGATACTGCTCCTTCGTAAAATATTTATGACCCACATCAAAACCACTAATGAGTGCTGACAACTACAGTTAATGATTTTTCATCAAATTATTTTAGTGGAATGTACTTTTTTTTTTCTATTTCAAATGTGGACTTCAGTTGTGTGCTGCCCTTTTACCTTTCATGTAGCCTATCCATCGATCAGCAACCGATTTAAAGATGGGGTCACTTTCAAAAGTACTTAACAGCAGGAGCTGATTAATGTGAGTGGTATGGTAGTCCCACCGCGCCAAATTGGGTGCTATCCCCAGTGAAAAGTGTCGAAGATCATACGTTGACCCCGAACCTGTGTCAAAGAGAGGCAAAATCTTTTTTAAAGAAATCATTCCATCTTCATATAACTTTGCTACTTCTTTACAGTCTTTTTGTGTGCAAGTCATTTTAAGATCATAAAGTCCCATAAGGGAGTAGATGAAACCATTAAGCACATATGAACTGGGTACAGTGGGATACTCTTCATACCAGATGTATTTTCCTGCAAAAGTGGTCATCACACCATGATTTTCTGATCGCACTCTAAATGGTTTAACAGCGTTAACTGCTGTATGAAGGTAAGTCACATTCCCTGTGACTTTAAAAGCTCGGGTTAGGACAGAGATGGCCTGACCCTGTCCCATTGCGGAGTACCAGCCTGGAGCGAGGTCTGCCATTATAGGAGAAAGATGACGTGATACCATGATTGGCCAACCACCATCTTCATCTTGATGACGAACAAACCAGTCAGCAACTGCAAAAAAGTGAGCCATGTGTGCAGAAGTACAAAGAGTAATATTATCAATGTATCCCCACCCCCGAAGTGTAATACTACGAACCCTTAAGTCCCGGGGTTTTGCTTTCTTTTTTGAGCTCCTTATTAACGTCAGTCCTTTCTGCAGGTCCACATTAAGGTCACGCGTTATTTTCATCCAGTCTTTACCGGTCCCTATCCCAAGAAAGACTTCATTTACATGTGCAGACATAAGTGCATCAGTCATTACATAGTGCAGCTTATAGATTGTACGTTTTCCTCCCACTATGGTCACTGACACAGTGACATTAGCCATCATCCTCAGGTCAAAGGTTAAAGTCATATGGGTGGAATCTTCTTTTAATGTCAAGGTGAACCCGGTATCAGAACCTGTGATGATTTTACAAACAGAAAAGAATAAGTTTTTCTATAATATAATATAATTAAAACAGCATATTAATTTTCACTCAGCTTTCCCATCAACAAAGGGATGTACATTTGAGTAATTAATAACTCACTTTTTTTCTTTATCCTTCACTTACAGCAGATCTTCCAAAAATTAAACAAAACTCTAGCATAAACAGGTACTACATCTGCTAAACATTAAATTCCACTAAAACCAACTTTTTGTAACAGAAAAGTTGTTCATGACATTGTCTTGTCAAGAACGACACTATTAAATCCCGAAGAAGTAATGTGTTGAAATAAGTGATCTTTTCTGAAATAACTTAATTACGAAATTTAACTTGTTTCAAAACTCAAGACCAAATAATTTTTAACAGTGTTCTCGCAAATATTAACTAAATGTAAACAAGGGATATTACATTACAGTAGGAAGCTAAATTTTAAACACTTTATACGTGCACTTAAGATCATACATATATATATCAGATAACTACAGGCTCAAATAAATCTTTAATTCTTATAGATTACACACACACACGGGTTATTTGAATCAAAATATTTGTAAGAAGGATGGAGTTTTAAAAACTGACCTCCCCCATATCTAGATACACCCCTGAAAAAACATGTCTAAGCACATGTATATTTCTTAAAATGTATCAGGGATACGTATCTTGTCACTGAGCCTAACACAAAATAAAAGCAATCAGATAGATTGCGTACCCTTGTCCCCGGGCTCCTTTTTCGAGATTGCATGAACTTATAATTGATAATGCAAAATTTTTCCTTCAAAAATTCAGAAAAGTCCTTCTCAGATTCTGAATGACCAATGATCCAGATCGTTTTTTTTTGTAGTGTGATGAGAAATCTCAACCTTAATGTGCCCATGAAATATGATACAAATCCAGTCACACTTTAAAGAATTATTAGTCGAAAATTCTCTGTCTCCCCCATTATAAAAAAATGCTTCAAAGCGATCCAGATTTGGATCTGGATGACCAAAATTGGAGAGAACTCTCCTATACTTTTTGTGTACGTCGGTCTATCAGTTTTGGATTGAGATACACACACAGACACACCCATGAACCTGATTGCAATACCCTCACAGAGCAAGGATAAACATAATATTAACATGTACCATTATACACGTGTTTGGAAGTTATGTTATCTAATGTAACACTGGATGTCTTCCCTCAACTATTAAAAGCAAAAGTGTTTAATAGAGTGTCACCTTGTATGAAGCTACAAGTGTTTTCTACATAAAGTTGAAAATTAGGAACTTTAGGGAGTGTCCATGTTACGTTAACAGTACTGTACAGTAGATAATGTTAGCCCAATCTTCATGATCTGACCTAATTCTTGTGGGAGGTGTGTTCCTACTAGACTATCTGTGCTATTCTCCATACCAAATGCCCAAGTAAGTCACCACAACTCATTACTATCAGACTGTCTCATGAATAGATGATTCTTCCTCAAAACCTCACCCATTAACTGCTGAGGTTGTTTCTTTTTGTACATGTCAGGTTTTACGTGAACTTCAGCTAAGCTCTTCACTATAGAATGTACTTTTGTAATCTAATGTTGTTTTTTTTGCAACGGATATTCGGGTTGTAATAGCATGTAAAGAATCTTGCAAATTAGATTTCGAGCTATGTCATCCGATGTATTTTCTCGACGTTCTAGTGTCTATAGCAGTGTTTCCCAAATGGCAGTCCGGTACCAGTCCTTGACTTAATTTCTACTGGTCCACAACATGTCATGGCTGTTCAAAGCTCTATCACTTACTTATATTTCTTTCAATATTTGATGACCAAAAGTTGCCAAGTCTACCTTTTCTTTTGTTTTTGAAATAAATTGTTTTTTCTTAAAATATTGTATTATTTTACTTATGTAATTAACAGATATTTTACTTGGAATGTTGGCCCACGAAAATGTTTTTGGAATTTTACTGATCTGATTACCAAAAGACTGAGAAACACTGGTCTATAGGGTGTATATACTTATAACCTTTTGTTGTTATAAAAGGCTTAGAAAAGTGATAATCACCTACAAATTTATGGGGTAAATTTTGGTTGGAAATAGAGCAAAGTCTCACAACTTCATCAGTTTTTAACAAATAATTCTGTAAGCTGCAATCATCTTCAGTGAAAGGAAACTACATCTTATTTAAAAGCTGGATTTACCAAAAATATATTTGCTATCAAAATGCATGTAGTCGAATAGTTGAAGGAGACAACCCAGATTTAATAACACTAAATAATTTTGTATGTATAAATTTTAGATACCCTGTACTGTGTACATTGCTTCATTCAACACAGAAATTAAGTATCTTAAATCAATAAAAAACTAATTATAGAACCCACTAAATGATAAATCAAGTCAGAATTAGAGAAATGGTTTTAAAATCTACCCTATCTCATTCAAAATACTAAAAATTAATGGAGTGCTTAAAATTAAGAGAAAATTTTACAGTATTTTTTTTAAAACCATTGATTCTTTCACCTTGACTTGTCTTGAGATTTCTAATCACAACATGATTTTATGAACTCAAAGGATCTCTAGCTAAAATTCTTACTAAATATTTAATTTGATACTTGTATCCAAACATATCAAAACAAGTACGAAAAAGGGACTTAAATATTTCAAAAGATAGTTTAAATCAAACTAACCGTCGTTGTAAATCTCAGTTATAAAAAAATTTCTATTTATACTTTCTACACAATTTCCTTAAAAATTCCAGATACAGTAATACTATCTCTCTTATGTATGTTCACGACAGGTCAAAAGTTTGGAAGTGGAGTACAAAGGAACTGCGGATAAGCACAATATTGTTATTCTTCTTCACTCTCATACCTGGATAAGTAATATCTTTGTCTTCCAGAACAAACAACTGTCTCCTCTTCAATAAGAGGCTGCAGGCATTGAAGATGTTTTATCATAAGAGCATCTCAAGGTATCCTCGTTTTGCTAGGAAGGCCGTACATATTGTCTGATAACTTATGGTACTTTCATGTGAAATATGTTTCCTTGTTTTACTAGGGAGGCTGTACATGTTGTCTGATAACTTATGGTACTTTCACATAAAATATGTTAGCTCAAGATATCCTTGTTTTACTAGGGAGGCTGTACATGTTGTCTGATAACTAATGGTACTTTCACATGAAATATATTAGCTCAAGGTATCCTCGTTTTACGAGGGAGGCCGTACATGTTGTCTGATAACTTATGGTACTTTCATGTGAAATATGTTTCCTTGTTTTACTAGGGAGGCTGTACATGTTGTCTGATAACTTATGGTACTTTCACATAAAATATGTTAGCTCAAGATATCCTTGTTTTACTAGGGAGGCTGTACATGTTGTCTGATAACTTATGGTACTTTCATGTGAATATGTTTCCTTGTTTTACTAGGAAGGCTGTACATGTTGTCTGATAACTTATGGTACTTTCCTGCGAAATATGTTTCCTTGTTTTACTAGGAAGGCCATACATGTTATCTGATAACTTATGGTACTTTCCTGCAAAATATGTTTCCTTGTTTTACTAGGAAGGCCATACATGTTATCTGATAACTTATGGTACTTTCATGCAAAATATGTTTCCTTGTTTTACTAGGAAGGCCGTACATGTTATCTGATAACTTATGGTACTTTCATGCAAAATATGTTTTAATCCTTCAAATTATGTAATTCGGATGAGTATTCTATTCCATTAATGTAATACTAACCAAATATGATGCACCAAAACAATTACACTATAAATTTGTTTTTAACCCTTGAACTGCAGCTGCTTCAAATGCTCCCATACAGCCATACACTGTATAGAGCACATTCTAATTCAACTGCCGGAAGTGGACCGTGCTCTATACGGTGAATCAGTAGTCAATGGATTAACTGCCTTAAGGCAGCATATTTTCTGGCAGGAAACACCATTTTGGGGGGGAGGGGGTGGAGAGCAAATGTTCTGCTCCATAAAACTGCAAGGGAATTAAAGGAGTCATATTTGAGCCTATGCTTAAATTCTAGAAAAGAGTGCACTTTAAAACACATTTATATAAATATAAAAAGAAAGTAACTGCCTGTCCAGAAAATCCAATACATTTAATGTTCAAGTAGCCTAAGTGTGGTTATCAGGCAACATTCCCTCCTCAGTTGTACAGCCTTCCTAGTAAGAATACATTGAGCTGTCAGTACACTTCCTTATGAATGTGTACTACTGTTTTAAATAAAATAAAGTTCTGTTCAGGTTGACAAAGATCTTAATAATCCACAGACTGGATTGAAAGAGAATGAACAATACTGTACTCATCACCAGACCCTCTTGTCATCATTTATTGCTTCCAAAATTTGGGCCCGTAGTCTTGTTGTTCACTATCAAAATTTTACCATTTTTTCTGCTCTTGAACTCCAGCACTTTCCCATTAGTAACCTCATCAGTCACCCTGTTTAGCGGGAACTTAACATTGTTGTTAGTAGACAATGTCCACTGTACTGGAGGAGGTGTCTCACCAGCATCAAGCAGTTTTATAACCTCATCAGTAACCCTGTTTAATGGGAACTTGATGTTGTTAGTAGACAGTGTCCATTGTGCTGAAGGAGACATCCTGCCAGCGTCAAGCAGTTTTACGGATGGGTTCTTTTCGGTGAGGTTCTTACTGAAGTGGCTCAGGCCAAACTGGGCAATTTGGATTGGATAAAGATGCCCTTGAGAGTTCCACTGAGTTGAAACAGGAACACCTGGAGAGGCAATACAAGCAGAATTAATATTGGTAAATATACAATCAAAATATTTCAATGTCTTCAATAGAAAACAGTGATCTTTTTTTTTTTTATCACCATATCAAGAAGCAAAAACTGGCATATTAGAGAAATATAAACGTTTCTACTAATCAAAAACTCCATACTGTGCAAAAAATATTTGGGATTGTAATTATTACCCTATAGAGCAGAAGTAATATAAAAACTTGTACTTATAAACTTCATTGTTTACCGACTTCAAGCTTACCTTAGCTGTCAGTAGTTGGGATACAAACATACTACTATGGCCTTTATATGTATTGAATACTTAAAATATACTTGGATAATATGTCATTTTCCACTGGGCTTGTACTCAGACTTGCACCATTTACTACACAGTACTGATATCACTTTTTCCACTGGCTTTATAATCAAACTTGTCAATCGTTGTCAAGTTTTCTGAAAATCTGATTAATCTTTGGAATTTTTCATTTCCTAGTTTGCTTGTTTTTATTACACCCAATCGTTAAAAAACAACAAAATTGCAATTTTACAGTTTATTCTACCCTATTGTTCGTTCATCTTTCCAATATGGGGCACACGTATGAAGCTTAAATCCTGTTATTATATACATAACAACAAAAAACTCATGGATATATGGTATACAGTGCTTTTAGCATAAAAAATTTGGCAAAGTACCATAAAATAATCCTTTAACTGCTCAGTTAGGCTCTCAAATACTTAAATAAATAAATTTTAAACAGGTGAGTGATACTCAATATGAATAGCTTTAAAACTACATATTTATTAAATTCACATTTCTACAGAAAACTAAGCAAACATCATTCGTGTATATAACTTTGTCACCTGAATACTGTCATTTTAAACCGAACAGGTGACGACCCACAGTAAATCATTTAGTGTAAAAATGTTTTAATATATTTTTAAATTTTTTTACTTAGAAGATTCATCGACAGATGGCAATAGCTGTATGCTCAATTTACTTGTAAACTATCTGCTTTACGAACCTTAGGTTACTGTGAATATTGATCGGATACCGAAAAGGACCTAGACCCCAATAAAGCTGTGATGTGATGATCGGATTATAAAAGTGTAGAGAAATAATTTCAGTTGTAAGTTTGGTTATTTGGTAATGTACAAGTAATAAACGGAACGAGTAAGCGATGTGCAAAACAGTTACAAGAAAAGGTTCGAACACACTAAACGTGGTGTTCGTAACGTAGAAGTGTTTTCATTCGCACAACTGCTGGTGGCTCCCATTTTCATAAACATTTCAGTAGAATATCAAAACCTTAAGTTTGGCTATTCTTATTTTACGGTGTACTTCGTCAATTTGCTGGACCTTGTCAGTTTGTGTATTCCAGATGTCAATTCTTACGTAACCCAATAACTGCTGATTCACTGTATAGGGTACGGTCTGCCTAAGGCTATTGAAAGCGAGTGTGCTGTTTACAGAGTATGGCTCCTCAAAATTCCGAGCATGTTTAAAGCAGCTGCAGTTAAAGGGTTAAAAGTATTTATTCAAAAGCTTAAAGTTTACAATCACAGAAAGCTTTACCGGTGGTCGCGTCTATCCTCACGATAATAAGTGTCACTTTGAAATAAAACAGAATCAAACTGTACCACTACCAACTGGAAGAAAGCAGTGTCATACATGATGTGATAACTGTTAAACGACAGTTGAGTCATACATGACGTGATAACTGTTAAAAGACAATTGAGTCAAACATGATATGATAACTGTTAAAAGACAGTTGAGTCAAACATGATGTGATAACTGTTAAAAGGCAGTTGAGTCATACATGATGTGATAACTGTTAAAAGGCAGTTGAGTCATACATGATGTGATAACTGTTAAAAGGCAGTTGAGTCAAACATGTGATAACTGTTAAGAGCATGCTGAGTCATACGTGATAACTGTTAAAAGGCAGTTGAGTCATACATGTGATAACTGTTAAGAGCATGTTGAGTCATACATGATAACAGTTAAAAGACAGTTGAGTCATACATGATAACTGTAAGAAGACAGTTGAGTCAAACATGATGTGATAACTGTTAAAAGGCAGTTGAGTCATGCATGATGTGATAACTGTTAAAAGACAATTGAGTCAAACATGATGTGATAACTGTTAAAAGGCAGTTGAGTCAAACATGATGTGATAACTGTTAAAAGGCAGTTGAGTCATACATGATGTGATAACTGTTAAGAGCATGCTGGGTACTCAACTGTCTTTTAACTGTTATCATGTATGACTCAACTGTCTTTTAACTGTTATCATGTATGACTCAACATGCTCTTAACAGTTATCACATGTATGTCTCAACTGCCTTTTAACAGTTATCATGTATGCATATATGATGTGATAACTGTTTGCGTATGTATACAAGTACTTTACTAGTAAGTCATAGCAAAGTTCACACTCACTTGGTGAAAACCCGAGTAATAACAATACGTTCTTTACAACAAAGTTCACACTTGGTGAAAACCCGTGTAACAACAATACGTTCTTTACAACAAAGTTCAGACTCGGTGAAAACCCGAGTAACAACAATACGTTCTTTAGAAAAAAGTTCACTCTGGCTTGGTGAGAACCCGTGTAACAACAATACGTTTTTTACATAATGACTTATGTATCCGTATGTAAGGTATTGATTTTATTCAGTTTGTTAGTCACAACAACAAAGTTCACTCTGGTTTGGTAAGAACCCGTGCAACAACAATACGTTTTTTACATAATGACTTATGTCTCCGTATGTAAAGTATTGATTTTATTCAGTTTGTTAGTCACAACAACAAAGTTCACTCTGGTTTGGTGAGAACCCGTGCAACAACAATACGTTTTTTACATAATGACTTATGTATCCGTATGTAAGGTATTGATTTTATTCAGTTTGTTAGTCACAACAACAAAGTTCACTCTGGCATGGTGAGAACCCGTGTAACAACAATACGTTCTTTACAACAAAGTTCACTCTGGCTTGGTGAAAACTCAAGTAACAAAAATACATTCTTTACATAATCACTAATATCTGCGTGCAAAATTCGCACTAATTTTTGTTAAACGTCTATAAATATTAATATGCATTATCCCCCTCTGGTGACAGTTCTATTTGCCGTGGACAGCTTCGTACACGTTAGCTGAACATAATAGCATTGGTTCAAAATGTCCTAGTAACGTCTTCACGCAATATTGAGCATCCAACTTGATAAAAGCCTTAAACCTAAAAATAAAACTTTTTTTTTTGTGACTGGCATAGATATATATATATTAAGATATCTATTTAAATAAACAAACAAAACCCTCCGCACTTTCCGGTCATTATCCAAAAGTCATAACGGAGATTGCCTGTGGTAATAGCACCCAAAAGCATTCGGAATATCCCATCTATCGGATAAAATCTAAAAAACAGATGAGAAACCAGTTTGCAGTCCTGGAAAATTCATTAATGGTACAGAGTTGAGTGCTTATATCCACAACGTCTCATCTCTTACTGCCTTTCACTGTCTGCAGCCCATAAAAAAGATGTAATAATATTAAAAGTAGATATACGATAAAATCAAGCCACCCCCCAAAAAAACTTACATCATTTACTAACAAACGTGTTAAAACACTTAGAAAATCGCTTTTCTTACACACACACACACACACACACACACATAAGGGCAGTATGTTAATGAAAACCGGAACATACCAGTGTCGAAAAAAAAGTAATGTATAAACAGGACGTTTCACTCTATTCTACCACGACATACAATATATTTTAAAGTATACGTTTTTTGTTGTTGCTGTTATCTTTCGCAGGTGATTCACTTCAATGTGTGTATGTGTGTGCGCGAGCGTGTTGAAATAAAATGATCATGACTACTATACAGACAACTAACTTCGTGATGTATTATCTACAACGATGCTCTCGTTTGTTGCCGAGCTAAAGAAATAAATTATTCTTAATCAAACCGGAAATGACAATGACGAGTACCGGAAATTACAGACAACTAACTTCGTGATGTATTATCTACAACGATGCTCTCGTTTGTTGCCGAGCTAAAGAAATAAATTATTCTTAATCAAACCGGAAATGACAATGACGAGTACCGGAAATTACTCGCATTTAAACAAGTTAAACCAGAAGTCGCGTTACATTGAGAATGCAATTCCTGGTAATGACGTCGGTCAATATTATGCCGGGCAACAATGCAAGGCCTATTGTCTTCATGTCACGAAATCATAATATCTTTCTATAAAAGACAGTTTTTTTGTTTTGTTTTATAAACTTCAACAATTATAATGGAAGATATTCTGAGGAAGAAGAAAAAAAATCACTTAAGTTTTCACCTTAAAAGTGAGGAGAAAATTTGTGACATAAACACGTGGGAACCAAAAATGTTCAGATTCACTTTTAATGCCTGTATATCTTTACGTATAAAACAGCGTTGTCCATCTGTCTGGTGACGCAAGTTCTTGTGAGAAAATGGCTGAAACAATTTCGATAAAATTTTGTAGAACTCGGGTTCGAGTGTGGCATCCATTTTTTGTTATTACCTCAGTGCTCATCAAAGCGAAAAGAAAGTTCGACAGAAAGATACGAGATAGACAATTACCTTCTCTTTACCCCCAGTTCGAGTAGCGAAATAAAATAAAAGACGTTGAGTACGTTGCCTAAAATCATTTAACCTATATGAAAACTATTGTTTGTGCCACGTCATGCTTGATTTCTCAAAATAGGAGGAGTCATAAAAGCCACAATGCATTTATCCAAACAGAATAGTTCGAATACTGCCTGCCCATTACGATTTTAGTGACGGGGTACAGGGAATCCGAGAAACCTTATAAGTGTAGTGAGTGTTGGTATAATAACCCTAAAGTAAAGATGTAGTGTGGGATCAGTTTGCCTAGGGATAAGTGCATAAAATTTACCATTAAAGTAAAAGTATCGATTAAATTTTAAACTTAAATCGTTTCTGAATTAAGGAATTTTCT